TGCAATCAAGATTTAACAATAAACATGAACTCTTATTTGTACTCCTTTCATCAAAAGCAGTAATTTGTTATCTCTGGTTTGAGGCTACATATATATATATATATATATATATATATATATATATATATATATATACATATACATACACACACACACACACACATATATTTGTTCATGTGTAAGAGAGTGGGGGTTTTGAAACTAAAACATCAACTGCTTTGATTGCAATATTATATATTTTATCTATACAGCTGTGATAATAAACCAAAAGCTAGAACTGGAAAATAATAGGTTGCTTCATGCTAAAAACCCAAGACTTTTTGATACATGAACTAATATCGTATCTCACCATATAGAATCTGGCAAAAAGAAATAGCAATTTTTGAAAACTGTGAGGCTCTTTATGTTTTGAACAGAGTTTTTAAATTTTCCTGTGAAGGAATAGATTTTTTTTTTTTGACAAATTAGCTCCTTTGACACAAATTTCTTCATTTGAGTGTAATTGTCGTAATGTGAAAGTCAAAGGGTCCGTATTTAAAATGGAACACAAAATAACACAGGAAGCATTTAAGTTGTACAATAAAAGGCCGATTTAAGTAGGTCTGCCTACAAAGCTGTAAAATTATCTACCTTTGCCTGACAACAAAACTGCCCAATTAGAGTGGAATTAAAAAAAAAAGAGACTAATTAGGTTTCAAAACATGCACTAAAGGGAGAAAATATCCTGCAGAAAAGAAGAAATACATTATGCCCATGGGTGCAATACAACTACACCAAACCAAGTTTGTTAACTTTTTACCTCTACAGGAGGGTTATGCGGTGCTATAATATAACATCTCAATTACTATATTGTTACATTGCCATCCAGCAGCTCCTCTAAATAAATACTAACTTATTTATATTACAACAATTTATATTTCTTCTTTGAATTGCGGGAAAAAGAGATACTGAGAGAACAGGAGCTTTAACAATTTCTTTAAAAAGCTCATACTAAAAGCTTCCCAATTGTCACATTTGGCAACTGTGACTCCATTGATCCATACAAGTGGTTCTTGACTTATGACTACTCATTTTAACAACAGTTTGAAATTACATCAACCTTCAAAAAAGCCACTTACAACTTAAATTCACAATTATGACCACTGCAATACAGCCTTCAGTCATGTGTTTGTGGTTTGGATACTCTCAACTGATTTATGTATGATTGGTTTCAGCATCCTGAGATTACAATTTTCAACTTTTTTGTTGGATTCACTGGGGAAGCTGTATTCACTTAATGACTGCATGATTTGCTTAATGACCATGGTGACTTATTATTGCTGTAAAACTGTTATTAAAATCAGGTCCAATTTTGTTATGACTTGACTTTCGACCGCAGTGACTTATGATGGAAATTTTGGTCCCACTTGTGGTCACAAGTTAGAGACTACTTCTATGGCAGATTCAACCTCCTTTTCATCAAATTTAGATTATCAAGGTGATTTGTCTTCCACCTGCCAAATACCCTAACCAAGTAGCCTTGTTTTACAGTTCCCGCTCACTAATCATTCAATCACTTACCTGTGTCAGAAGTTGCAGTCTGTTCATTAGCTAGGCCCAGTCAGAAATTTTGCTTCCCGAGGCAACCTATATAGAGTTTTCCTCCCACACGTGTTCTTTATTTATTACACTTAAAATGCCACAAAATCAGAAGGACTCAAGGTGCCTTATGTTAAAAACTCAGTAGAAACACACCATCAGAATGCAGAAGCTATAAAAATGAAATGATGCCACGAGGAAGTACATAAAACATCAGTTTGGCCATGAACAACCTTCATTAGTCATCACTTGGCAGGATCACAAAACTTCTTGGCTCATGTTCTGTTTAAAAAGCCAGGTTTTAAAGTTATTCTTAGGCAGTAAAAACCAAATGCCCAGTTATAGAATAGGTAACACCTGGCTCAACAGTAATAACTGGAAGAGTATCTAGGTGTCTTAGTAAGGATGAGCCAGCAGTGTGCTGCAGCTGCCAAAAAAGCCAATGCAGACCTTGCCTGCATGAACAAAGGGGTAGCATCTAGATCACGAAAAGTGATAATACAATTTTATACCCCACCAAGGAGACCACACATGGAATATTGCATCCAGTTCTGGTCACCACGATACAAAAAGGGCCCGAGACCATAGAAAATGTACAATGAAACACAACAAAGATGACAAGGGGTCTGGAGAATAAACCATATGATGAACAGTTAAGGGAAGTAGGTATACTTAGGGGTAACATGATAGCTGCCTTTCAGTACTTGAGGAGCTGTTATGGAGAAGATTGATTTGTTCTCCAAAGCATCAGGAGGCAGGACAAAAACTAGGACAAAAAAAAGAGAGATTCAACCTAAACTAAGGAGAAATTTTACCAACAGGAAGAACAATTAATCAATGGAATAGCTTGCCACTTGGAGATGTGGGTGCTGTATCACTGGAGGTTTTAAAAAATAGACTCGACAACTATTTGATAGTGTAAGGTTTCCTGCCTTGAGGTCCCTTCAGGCCTATGATTCTATGATCTATCTTATAAAGGATGGCATTCCAGAAGCCAGAAGGTACACCTCTGTGAAACCACAAACCTTTTTTAATGGAAGAGATGTGAGACATGCCCATTCCATCTCATCTTACAGGACAAAGACAATTGGAGAAAAGAAGAGCAGTTGTGTAGATAATCAGGTCATGCCTTGCAAATGATTTATAGGTGACAACCAGCACCATCTGGAAACTCTCTGATAACGGGTACAGATTGTAGAGCATAGGTGTCACATGCAGAGCACATTGCAGTATGTCACAGAACTGCATTGCGGATAAGTTGTATCTTCAAGTCAAGGGTAGCCCCATGTATAGTAAGGGAAAGGTTCCCCTTGCACATATGTGCTAATCGGTTCCGGCTGTAGGGGGCAGTGCTCATCTCCATTACAAAGCCGAAGAGCCAGCGCTGTCTGAAGACGTGGTCATGCAGCTGGCATAACTAAACCCAGAAAGCACTGTTACCTTCCCACCAAAATGGTCCCTATTTTTTTACTTGCATTTTTACATGCTTTCAAATTGCTAGGTTGGCGGAAGCTGGGACAAGTAACAAGAGCTCGCTCCATTATGTGGTGTTAGGGATTTGAACCGCCGAACTGCCGACTTTTCTGATCAACAAGCTTAGTGTCTTAGCCACTGAGATACCACGTCCCTTGAGTATAGTAGAGTGTATTATAAAAAAACTTACAAAACCAAGCATTGATAAAATGCAAGAATACAAGAAAGGGTATCCCCTCAAAACATACAACATTTACTGCTTAAGGCCACATCCTCATTTTGCCCCCCTAAAAGTGGGGCTATTAATGGTAGGATCATTAATGCAAAATGTTTCCTTATTTAATCACTATATCCATTCAAAGATTTTGAATCTGGTCCTCCAGCTTTGTAACAAAAGCAACAAAAACAGTCCCCAGTCAGAAACAAGGTAAGTGTCTGGCTTGTGACAAATCATTATCTTTCATCCCATTTGTAACAATGGAAGTATTATTAATTTATGCCATAAGGTCTTTTACAGAGTACGAAGACTCACAACTTCAATTAGATCACATTCTATCTCACAGGAAAACTTGAGCATATTCACACATTGAATTACAATTGCATTTAGACTTCATGGTGCTTTGCAGGCCTCTCTAACAGTTTTGCAGAGTTGGCGTATTGCTGTCAACAATCTGGGTCATTTTTACCAACCTTGGAAGCATGGAAGGCTGAGTCAACCTTGAGCCGATCAGAATCGAACTCCAGGCAGTGGACCGGAGAGTTAGCTACAGTACTGCATTCTAACCACTATGCTACCACATGAAAGTTACATTCTACATCATGTATAACAAAATCTTTATAAGCAACCTGTGATTTTCCAATTTCTACTTAACTACAATATTAGCACCCCTTAAACTGACTATATGGGTCAGGGCTGCTGGGAACATTCAACAACATCTGGAAGCTAATGGTTCTCCACATTTTACATACAAACTCAGCAAATTAGTTCTCAAGTCATTTTTATATAGAACATTTTCCCACACTGAAAACTAAGAATACCTGTTTATTTTTGGTCAATGTTGTGAGAGTACTGCTTAAATAAATTATTTCACACTGATTTCAGAATTAATGCTACTTTAGCATTAGATCACTTGATCTATTTATTATTACATTTACATTGTACTGTTTCTTTAAAGTGCAAGTGTGTGATTAGCTTAATTTCTTTCACAACAAGAAAACTGAAATACCAGCTGAAGCTCACCTAATGAGCTTCTATAATAAAGAGCGATCTAATAATTGAAAACACTTTTACCACAACTAACTTTTAATTAGATGTTAGTGCTATAAAGCATTTTGTACATTGCATTCTGTAAACTATATACTTATCAGTACAATTGTAAAATTCTCAGCTAACTCAGAAATTCATATTGAAAAATCATTTCTGTTAATCAATATACTTTTCTTGACAGTACACCAATATTTTCTAATTACAATAAGGGAAATCTCTAAAATACATATACAGCAATACACATATGTATACCCAGGCTTGTTCCACTCTGTTATTAATATGATCACTGCCATCAAACAAAAAATGAGCTATAATTAATCAATAAGATGAGCTTATTTTTTATTTTGTTTTTCTTTTCATAACTTAACATTTTTTAAAAAAATGAGCAATTGCCTTTTCCCTTCTGCAAGTTTTAGAAGAAATAACTGCTAATTGGCCCAAGTTCCCAACAAAATAAGCAAATGGATTCTAAGATTACAACCAATATAGTGCCTACTATGAAATAAGCACTTGCTTTTACACATGGTCCAATCTGAAACCACATCACCAAGAAATGAATTTTGCACATATAATTTCACACTTATCAACTGTTTCAACTCCCCACCCCCTGAAGAAGACATTATGGTTGTCTTTTGTCCACTAGATGGTGCTGTGGTTCCCCTTACAGACCAATATCACTTACTTGCATTCTCTGTCCTCTAAATCAAAGTGTGGGTTGAAGTTGATCATAATCCTCTGGTGAGGTTGAGGAGCTTGAATCAACCATTCACATTTTTGACTCGGATGATAACTATTAGGGTAGCCTGGAGAGGTGAGATATCCAGGCTCTAAAATTTGTATGTTTTCTCCACATCGATCTGCAATTAAAACACACAAACATACATGTATTACATTGAAATCACATCATTTGATCGATCCATCTTATAAATAATAGGCCATTCAGTACTTCAGTTCAGGTCGACTCAAGCTAATAGATTTCCTTTCCCATAGATTGCACAACTATTTATTCAATTGTTTATAGAAACTTTTTTTCTGTAAACAAGATAAATAGCTTCACCTTCTTTCAGATCACCATTTTTAAAAATACATGCAAACTGGGTAGCTTTACCAAATATCTTTTACCCAAAGATATTAAGGGTTTTTTTTTTACCTAATGGCTACAGTGTAGAAAGTACTAACAGTACTCATAGTAGCATACTATAGTAGCAAGTAGTTAAGTATAGAATATGTAGCTACAATGATATTGAGCATCAAATTTTACATAGGGAGCAACTTGAAGCTAATACAGTGCCTGCCCCCTCCCTGCTTTCTGATAATGAGCCTGTTCTTTGTCATTAGACAATCTGGCTTGTTTACAGCATCCCTCTCTTTCTGGTTTATCAGATACTAAATCTAAGCAATTTGAAGTTATCTGTGCTCCAGAGGTCCAGACTACCCAGCAACAAAGCACATTGTTAAAGCAGCAAAGGTTTACTTAGCTCCATTACGGAAGTCCCCCCCCCCCACCTAAGCTACTTGGGGAGCAGATAAGGGTTAGCAAAGCAGAAAGGAAAGGAAAGGAAAACAAACTTTAGTTCCAATTACAAAATTCCTGCCTTCCCCTGTCTTTCAAATCTCACGAGTTCTCCTTGAGTAAAAGTGCTCTGACTCACAACTATAGGTTAGGATTAACTACAATTTATATAATAATTATTAAAGATGGAAGAAAAGGAATCTGATTAACCTCCAACATCAATACTGCTACTGTAAGTCTGCACTGGTTAGTTTTAAAAATTATGGACTGTTAATCTAAGTGCAACGACACCTGATATTCCATTAACATCACAAGATCAAACATGTGTCACTTGCAATGCATAACATTTTCCCAGGAATGGCATACACTGGTTGGAATCCTCCTTCTAAGGGAAATCTGGTGATATGAAAATGGTTATCAATAGTTCTTAATGTGAAATTATCAGTGTACAGAACTTCACTATAGAAAACCAGGTCAGTTTGAAAGAAAGAGTACACCAAATCACCAACTACGTCAATTATAGGAAACATCTTCTATAATTTAGAAGAGAATGAGATGGTTTATTTTCAACTCAAATCCGACTCAAATTATGATTTTTGAGTTGGTTGTATGTTCCTATTTATCCCTGCTTTGGCAGTTTGCATAGCGTGTGTCTTTCCTGAGAACAAAAGATGTTGTCCTTAGGAGTTCAAAGTGAGCAGCCAATGATATTTCTCTGCAAACCTCTTGCATGTGGCAGGAAGGACAATCTGGCATGATTTGCCATCTGCAGCAGACTTAGGAAGAAAACTATCCTGCTTCGTTAAGTCTTCTCTAATACACTGCAAACAACATGGCATAATCTGGAATATGTGAAATGGTTGAAATAAACCAGTGAATCACTTGACAGAGTCACTCCAGGAAACATTTAGTAGACTCACTACCAATAACACTTTAATCGCTATCTCCTGGGAAAGTGATATAATAAGATAATGTGGACCGTTAATACTCTCTGGCTCTGTGAAATCTCTCTCTTACTTGATTAAGAGAAGCAGTTTCTAATGATTTTGGACCATTAGCTCTAAATAGGGTTAATGAATTAATTTTGCAGACACTTGAACTGGACAGAGGAAGACGATCTGGCACTCGTGGGTCTGTTGAATTGTTGCAGATCCAAAGAACTGCAATGACTTCAGTGGAGCTAAAAATATTTTGCTCACAATTACTCAGATTCAATGGTAGCATTGTAGTTTCTTTCTAGATTGGGCTCATCAAAGAATGTTATTTGATGGCAAAAAGACATTTAGTACATCTCACTCCACAAGGCTTTCAATGAGCCTCTTCTGTTTTATACATCCCAGTTAAATTCGGTACTATTCATGTATTACTGAAGATGCACAGCCTGAAACTGTAATCCCTGAAAAGAAAGACTTGACAATTGAAAGAGAAGATCTAATTCCAAAATATCACTGTAGATCTGAAACTGAATCATGGCATCCAAAGTACAAATACTTCCCAGCAAACTGATTTCCAGATCCTACTGTAATGATGTTACTGAAGAAGCAGACAAGAGAACTTGTTGAGTTTTGACCAAATTAGCCAACTTCCTCATATTGGAAAAATATTAATTTCCTTCATAACATGTGATTTAAATCTGTTCCTGTAAGACACACACACTACATGCAGTTGCTTATTAAAACAATATACCACCAGTGGAGGATGTCCCTTCGTTTAATTACTTTGATCAAAATCCTAGTCAAGCGAGGTTAATATTTAGTTATTAGCTAATAATTGCTCAGACTTGGTTCTGAGAGGAAAAACCCAGGTGATTTCCCCACTCCATGCTTGCAAGTTAAATGCCAGCCACTCCTAAAGTAAGAACATTTTAAAGAATGCATAATATAATGAGATATTCCAGATGCCTGACCGCTATTGTGTCAGAAACCCTTGTTGTTTTGAAACTGTTGATATCAAGCATTGCCTCAAGGCCAGATATGAAGACTATTGGAGAGAGTTCTTTCTTAGAACTGTTGCCTCTGAGGAAGAATGCTTTCTATTCCTTGCATTGAAACAAGCAGTCTGTAAACTCAAGCCTTTTTTCATTTCATAAGTATAAATGAGTGAAATTGTACCTGCATTGATAGCAAAGATATCTATCTATCTATCTATCTATCTATCTATCTATCTATCTATCTATCTATCTATCTATCTATCTATCTATCTATCTTTATATATATAAATATATATTATATACATAAATATATATCTATATATTCCTATCTCCCTTAGCTTTCACTTCCTCAGAAACAATACTTGGGTATTCGAAATGCTTATCTGTTTAATTTTTCTGGACAATCTTGTGCAACTGCCAAGGGAAGGAAACATTAAAATTATTGGCTATTATGTGAAAGCTATAAGCCCAGTGTTACATGTTACAAAAAGGAAGGGCTGAAAGACTAAGTGTGTTGATTAGGTGTAATTCTAGATGAACACCCAGCATGTTATCCATCAACCTCTCCTTCTAGCCAATACAGTTAAAACCTGTTCCAAGATTGGCTTATCATCATCATCATCATCATCATCACCATCATCTTAGGCAAAGGGATTTCCAACTTGCAGATAGCAACCTGGATGCACCGAAAGTGATCTTGAGTCACTTACCACTCTTCAAAGCCTTGCCGAAGGCGACTATGAGGGCTGCAGAGTGCAAAAGTAGACCCCAGGCCATCTTCTGCTTCGGATACAGGAGGTCTGAAGAAAGGGAACAAGATTATCCAATCTCTCCACGCAATTCCGCTCAGATCTTAAATCCTCCTTCAGCACGGGCAGTTATAAAGAAACAGAAAACCGACTCAGCCGACAACAATTGTTGTAGTAGCACCAGAAGGTCTTGTCGATTGCAATAGGCGCGCTCTCTCTCCTCTCTCTCTCTCTCTTACTCTCTCCCTTTTCTCTCTCGACTATCTCCTTAAGTCGCCCGCATCCTGTCATTTAGCTCTGGTTTCCTGTGCTTTTTGGCACACTAAATCCATTTCCAGGAGATACTGTCCTTGCCATGTTCAAATAGAGGTTAACATGGGGGGGAGGGGGGGGGAAAGAGCCAACAGCGGAAAAACTAACAAGGAAGTCGCACCCGCGGCACAGATGGACGAAGCGCGCGGAAATCCTCGCCACTTTCTTCTCTTAAGCCGGTTGCACAACTCTCCCAGGGAAAGGCTCAGCAGGGCGCCTGCCTAGAGCACTGAGGAGGAATAGAAAGCAGTTGTTAAGGCAAGAGGCGACTTTCCCCCCCAACTTCCCTCCCCTCCCTCTTGCCCTCTTCACCTCCCGACCGTCTCGCCAGACGCGGAAGGAGGGGCGCGAGACCTTCTACTCTGGCGACCCCCTCGAAGGAAGACGGATCTGCCCGCGGGGAGCTCGAGCGCCCAGACCCGGCGCGCGCTCGCTTGCTCGCGACTGACCTGACGCCTCGTGTGCCCTGCAAACGCGGCGGGCACTTGCAATCCCAAAGCCCCTCGGTGATGGGACGCCGCCTCAGCCTTCGCTGATCCAAGCGGCTGGCAGCGGCGATGGGAATAGTGGCAGAAGTGCCAAGCGGCTCCTTCCTGCAGCCTAAGGAGAAGAAGCTCAAATCAGTGGCAATAAGAGAGGACCCGACGCTATTTCCAAAGCCCCGAGTCCCCACCCCTTCCCCGCCTCCAGCCCCCCCCCCCGAAACAAGAATCCACATTCACCAAAGCCCCGAAATCTACTCGAAGGGTGAATGGGTGGAAAACCGAGAAAGGGGTGGAGAGGCTTGGAGACAGAGAGGGAGGGACCGACGGAAGCACGAAACCGAAGAAGGGGAGGCGGGCAGGAGTGCGCCGGCGATGAGGAGGCGCCTTCTCCTGCTCCGCTCTTTGACCGCCTCCGAAGAAGCAGGGGTCTTCGCGGAGCAGGTAAGCTAAGTGAGGCTGACGCGGCTTGAAGCGCCCGTCTGAAGTAACCCTCTCCCAGATCACGCCTTGGCTGACTGCCGTCTAAACCAACACGCCCACCTACTCTGCCAGCCGATCACCCCACGCGGGTATTTCAAGGCATTCTGGTGGCCCGTCGGCGGGTCATCTCCTTTCCCCTCCTGGTGTCAGATGGCTACTAAGTGCCCAAAGAAGAAAGTCCAAGCCAGCTATGGGATTCATGCTCTCAATCTCCGCGTGGCTCTCCAAAGGTGTCAAAACGGCCCCATTACCTGAAGGGGCTGACCTCCTCTTCCCTTAGCCCCGCTCCCTCCGTGGTTAAGAGTGCGCAAGATCGGCTTTAGTGCAGCATCTTCAGGACTCTCGCCATCCTGTAGATCTTTGGCGCCCGTCTGGCTCTCACCAACGGATGAGCTGCCAGCCACTCAGAGCTCAGTGCGCCCCACCGCGACCTCGACCAACGCGGGCATTAACAGTCTGGCCTCAAGCTTGTGCGCTGTTGCGCTTTGTCCTCCTTCCACTTTTTCCTTCTGTCAAGCCCAGTTCAGCGGTATCCGCCCCTAGGTTACGCCTCCAGTTTTGACCCCGAGCCTGAAAGCGCACAGCCTGTTCGCAACCTCGCCAATTGCTCGCTCGTAGTTTTCTTCCCACCATCCCACCCCGACCAAACCCCCGGGGCAGAAGCTTTGTACTCTGAGGGAGGAACCGCCGCCTACACCTTGTACGTTGGCAATTCTCCAGCATCTCACACCTGCCTCAGGTTTGTTCCCTTAGTCTCTTCTCCGCCCCCTAACTCACTGGCGGCGCCTTATGGCCCGTGGGGATCGGGCGTGTTCTGCTCACGGACCCCTCCTCCGATACTCGCCACTGAGCACTTCCCTCTGCTCGCCCACTTCATGGCTGCTTCCCCCCCGTTCTTTCAAATAATCACGAATATCGCCCGCGATGGCAACTGAGGTGGCGGATCACTGTGGAAGGTGCGCGCGTGTAAATCTGTTTGTGTCAGCATAAATGGCAAGGATAAGGCGAAGCGACACCGCGCACATTTCTCCCCCTTTCCCCCTCCCGCCTCTCTCTCTCTCTCTCTCTCTCTCTCACACACACACACACTCACACTCCTGGTGGGCTCTGCGGAGAGAAATGCCACATATTTCCTTAGCGCTTTCTCAGTTAGGGAAGGGCAGCGCCCAGGCAGATAGAAGAACGAAAGTTGAAACAATAAAACAATAAACAATGTAAAACACTAAAAAGATAAACCCAACCAGACCTGGCAATTATTCTCAATTAAAGAGAAATACTTGAGATTGGGTGCCTAGTTCCAAGATATTACTGTAGATCTGGAGCAGAAATAGACACAGAAACACCGGGGAGCAAGAGTAGAGGGCGTGCCCACCTTCCTTCATCGCTAGAGGGAAGGAACTGATGGAGGGGATGATGGATGCCAATGGGGGTACAAAGAATCCATAGCAGTATTTCTCAACCTTGATCAATAAAATATGCAGGCTTAAATTCTTGGGAAATTCTGGAAGTTGAAATCCAGACATCTTAAAAGTTGCTAAAGCTGAGAAACACCACTCTGGAGTTTCATCTTAGCTAGTAGCAAGAGAAGAAAGAAAATACAAAAACCGAAATTAATGTATTTAGCAAAGGGTGACAGAATCAAACTATTTTTTTCAGGCCCACTAAGAGTATAATATGCAGACTGATTTTGACTGACAGATTCTGTTTGTTGTGTTGCAACATAAGGCACAGAATTGGAATGAAAGACTGGATATAACTAAAGCTACACAACTGCAGCAGATAAAGGCATTTCCTGGCTGAAGAATCCCCTGTAAGATCCATCAAGACCAGTATCTAAATCAAGCTGTGTTGATGAAAATGTTTGCCCCAGAATCAGGAAGTTAGTTTGTTGTTACTGGTAGTTGTTTCCTTGCCCAGATTCAACAAGTTAGCAAAAAGCATGCAGAGCATGGGTCCTGCAATTCTTTCCAGCTCCATCAACAGCAAAGGCTATAGGAAGTGTTTGCATTTGGTTCTGTGTGAGAGATATGTGTTGCATCTGTGTTTATGTATGGATGTGTTTATGCTCTCCCTTGTGTTGAATTGATCTGCACTTCTGGGTGCAGATAGAAACAAGTGGACTGCATAGATTCCATTTTTGGTCATGTGTCCAGAAGGAAGGCATGGAATTTAGAATGGAGGATTTTAGTAGCATTCTGAACCCTGACCAATTGCCTCTTCCATAAGAATTGCCTGGGAATATTTTTTTTGCTGGAATTATTTTCTCTTTTACAAGTGGACCACTTTTATTGCTTTGATTGATTGCATATTGTACCCTATGACTATCATTAAGTGTCGTACCTTATGATTCTCGACTCCTGACATATGTATCTTTTCTTTTATGTATACTGAGAGTATTTACACCAAGACAAATTCCTTGTGTGTCCAATCACACTTGGCCAATAAAAAATTCTATTCTATTCTATTCTATTCTATTCTATTCAATCCAGAATTTCTTTGGCTGGTTTCCTCCATCCAGTGGTGGTATTCAGCCAGTTTGGAATGGTTTGGAACGGCATAGAAGTAGCAAAATTTTTGAGTAGTTTGGAGAACTGGCAAATACTACCTCTGGTTGGTGGAAGTGCATGTGCATAGAACCGCTCATAGAACCAGTGGGAAAACATTTGGAAAACTGCCACTGCCTCCATCGTACCAAATTTGGTTACTTTCAGTTTCAGTTTTGGAGAGCTTTCCTGTTCACGGACTGACAACAGATTCCTGAGCCTTTTTACCTAATTCCTTTTAAACCTTCTGTTGGATTGAAATGAATTTATTTTTTAAAAAGTTTCTACTAGAGGTTCTGCAAAGTGCATGGATGTCATAAAACTCACAAAAATGAAATACAAGTATATTAACATATTCACTTTATTTAATTTAGAATTAACTTTAGGATTAGGATTACACTAAATCCTAGGATTCCTTGAGTATATGTAATTCTGGCAGATGAGGTTTCCTCCCTGATTTTTAAGACTCTTAAATTCTTTTCCTTTTGAACAACTATAACACTTCCTAAATAAATAGCAGATTTTTTTTTCCTCTATGCAACAAAAAAAACCAAAACAAAACACCCATAATGGAGCATTTGATCCAAACAAACACAACTATTGCATGGAAATTTTAGTAGGAAAAGGAAGAAAAGTCTCAAGTGATATGTGATGATGAACATGGAATTACATTACAATCGCTTACATCCTTCTGAACAACACTGCTGACATATAGCAGAGGGACAAATATATTAGTAGAGGTCACAAGTATACTTTTTTTTAAATCAGCCAATCCTAAGGGTGGGGGTGGGGGGGAGAGAGAATTGCTTGTGTCTGGAATACACTTCATTTTCTAGGCTGGCTAGAGTATAAATCTCTGTCCATACACACTGAGCTGTAAATTTGTTTGAAATACTTTTCAAACAGTTGTTACAGTTGGCAGACACAGACAGCAAAATTACAAATGTTTTTTCATTTGTGTGTGGTAACCATATGGATCCTATAGTTCATTCCTTCTTGAGTGCAATCTTAAACTCAGCACATCTGAAGATATTCATAGACACTTTCTCATTTAGAGAAGATCCTGTCCCTGACGTCCAAGAAAACTGTATACAATCAAATACTCACCTCATTGACTCTTAGCCCATTACACTGTGAGCAGGCTAGCTCAATACCATTATCTTGTCAGCCTTTTGCACTATCTTCAACTGTATTCTCAGAGCTCATCCATGTCAAATTTGGCACCAGAGTCAGACAAAATGGTAGATTCCTTCCCAGCCTTGTCTTACTCTTCATCTCTAGCCAGTCCCTGAGCATATCTTATGCAATACTTGTACATTTACTGGACTAAGAGTAATGCATATTTTATAACTAGCGCATCAAGTTCTTTCTTTGTTTTCCTTAAATGACATCCTTATAAGTTAGCAGTGGGTTAACACGCTGTGAAAATCCAGCTGTTAATGTGCTTCATAATACAAACCAATGAGTTGAATCTTTCCTCATAATTGCTAAATTAGCACTCTCTGCAGTTTATTCCTGAGAAAATATAGACAAGGTTAAAGCTGTGCATTGCATATTTAAAGTAATTTTGGGAAATGTGTGTGCTAAAGAGCAACAGAGGCTTATTGTAAGTGTGGCTTTGCTTAGTGAGCAGACATCTGGAAAATAAGTCGCTGGTATTAAAAAGTTATACCTATCATATGAAAATTGTGGTTCCTTCTTCACTTAATTTCATTCTATCTCATTAGCTCTATGAAGCCAAGGACAATAAATTAGTACTCATCTGTACTTAGTTAATAGTTTTTCCTTGGTTTTGCAAAACAATATTGTAGTTTCCTTAATAGTTTGTATGCTTTGATGCATTGCTTATTCTACAAAATAGCTGTAACTATTATGGTGAATGACACATCCAGCATTCTAGACGTTTTGATTAACAATCCATGGACTCTATTCTAATATCGAGAGAGAGAAAATGCTCCCATTTTCATGAGGTTCTAAACATTTAACCAATGATTCCTGTTCACAAAATAGTGAAAGCTAAAACTTGATTTTCAGAAGTTCAATGCAATCCTGTTGTCATCAGTAAATTAATATAGTATATATTGTATAGGTACCGCCAACATCACCGTTCTAGGTAAAGTTAACTGACACATTATCAAGAGTTCAAGTTTAACATATTTTATACTTTGACATACATTTTTGATGAACACAAAAGTAGCCCCATGCCATGTAATAACTTGTGATAGTCAAAGAGCTTTTTTCCTTTTAATAACTTACTTTATGACTCTTTTTGCCCATCAAGACATAGCTAGCCTCATCAATAGTCAATAGAAAGACTTCTAGCTGTTCAAAATTCAATCAATGGAAAGTCAGTAAATGAGACAAACTGTAAGACCATAAATAATAGACTTTTCTGTTTGCACAAGCCACTCCCCCATTACTACTAATACTTAGTGATGCAATTTGTTGCCATAAGTAGACAATGGATTGATTTTTAAAATCTCTTTTAATATTTAATGATGATTGCTTTTAATTGCCCCCCCTCTCTGTCTACCTTTTTGACATGTCCTGCCTCCCCCTTTGAATGTGGTCACAAGAAAGGTCAGATATGACTTCAGATTGAAAAAGGACTATCTAGTTCTGGGGTAAATAAATTTAAATAGACTATCCCTGAATTAATATGCTGATTATCCATCTCAAGGAAAGCTATATATGAAAAATATAATTTTCTGGAATGTAGCAATAAATTAAATATACTCCCCCCCCCCCCATTTTTCTTGTATCAACTTGTACAAGTGAATTGGAATTCTGATCTGTATCAGTAACCCAACAAAAGCACATTCTATTCTATTCTATTCTATTCTATTCTATTCTATTCTATTCTATTCTACTCTACTCTACTCTACTCTATTTTATTTATTTATTTATTTATTTTGTCAAATGCTTACAATATAACAGAAATAAGAATAAACGTAAGTTTAAATACATGAAATAGGAACTAATAATTGGGGACAATAGATACAATTGTGCACTT